ATATAGTCCATAAATAGTCAGTATGATAGGGTAATAAATAAAAGACGGTAATTTTTCACTTATCGACGTTTTGATTAATTTTTTAATCATGAGGTCTAAAAGTAAAATTTAAACTTACAATACTCTATGGTAACAAAATTATTACATATAATGAATATAGGATTTCATATAATTTTAACAAAATATATATACAACATTTATTATGAATTAACGCCTCATTAAAATGTAAAACAATTAAAAAACAAATAATAAAATTTTCAAATTTATTTAAAAATCTAAAAAAAATACTTGAACATTGAAAATAAAAATAAGTAATATCCTTACCTTAAGTGAAACAAACCTCAAATAATCACATATCACAGATGAATGTGTCGTCATGCTAAAGACAACAGTGTTATAATAAGTAATGTAAACATTCAGAATGTAATAATTATTAAAAATAAATTTCGATGTGAATATCACCGTATCATTTAAGACAATAAGCCTAAGAATAAAAACGTTCAAACAGATAAAAAGACGAATGTGTTCAATATGGAAATCAGAAGGGCGAACGTGTATGTTTTAAGCATGTCTACATTCCAACAATCATAACCTTAAATTAATATTTTGTACTGCGATCTAGGAACTGCTAATTGCATTGTTTTATTTGTGTTAAATAATGTCTGCGAGATCAAGAAAAATTCTTAATCTGGCCCTAAGTGCTCCAGAAACACCAAATGAAAATTCAACTTACAACATTGAAGAAATGGACATTATTTTGATACAGAACTATCTCCTCTTATCTGGGTGGAAGTTGAACAATATGAAATTGTTGTAAGTGTAACGATTTCAAATATATTCAAAAGATAATAGATTTCTTCACTTTCAAGCATGCATCGTCTTCTTTGTTAGAACTACTAAATATAGACACAGTGGCGGCGCCTAAAGTTCCCGATATAAGTTTAGACATATCTCCCTCTGACTACGAAGAAGAGGTCCAAAATGAAATAGACACAGATTTTAGAACGGTATAATCTCCTGAAGCACAGTTGGTTGGGGAATCAGGAATTATTTTAAATATAATTTAGGTAATGTTTATTGAAATCAATATAATTATTGTTTTATAGGTATTTGGGCAGGCTACTCAACCATCCTCATTAATTGATTTTGAGGAGGCACATACAACGGCATTGATTTATGCTCCAGGTACAAGTTATAACAAGTCTTCTTCTACCTAGGAAGTGGATACACAAGACGATGGGCAGTTTGATGATGGCAACAATAAGGAAAATGAGTCTGTTATTGATGAACGAGCTTCAGATGAAGAAAATGCGACAGAAGGGGAAGCAAATAGTTATGGAAAAACAATTAAGAAGAGAGAACAAAAGGGAAATTTCCAGACAAAAAAGGCTTAGAGGTGAATCTTATATTGGCCACTAAAAAGATGAAAGGAAGTGAAGGATAACCCCTGTAAAAATGGATGCAAAAATAATTGCAATGAGTTCAGTGAAGAAGAAAGAATATTATTATTCGATAACTATTGGGCTCTAAACCATCAGAGCCAGAGAGAGTTCTTAATGAACCATATTGATATTCATCATATTAAAAGAAGGCGTGTCCGAGCTGAAAGCAGAAAATCTCTCAGTAGATATTACTTCTTTCCAAAAAACGGTGAGAAATTGAAGGTATGTCGAAGATTTCTAATGTATACTCTGGACATTACTGACAAACTTCTACGATACACAAAAACAAACCGCAAACCGGTGAGTTTAACATCGGTTTCCATGTTCTCAAGAAAATAAATGTCTTGCTCGTGAGAAATACAAAAAATACAAATGAAACAATGAGCCAAGAGAAAAAACAAATACCAAGAACATATAAATGAGAACACAGTCACAAATAATTCGTTTATAATTATTGATCCTTCTATTCTGTGTACAAGTTTCGATCTCCAAAAAGTTTTAAGTACACCCAATGGCGATAATTTTTTATTTGGTTTTGCCAGTAAATACGCTATTTACAATTTGACATTTTATGAAAGTATTACAAGAAATGTGGAGTGTTATTTATGGGGAGAATGTGATGGAAAGCGTGGAGCCAATGAGATTTGTACTATTATGTATATACATATTTACAGTAAGTAGACAAAATGGTTACAGTTAAAAAGCTTCCACTGTATTGCGATAGCTGCGCAGGACAAACTAAGAATCAGCAGATGCTATGCTTAATTCAGTGGTTCCTGAAATCGATCAATATACATAAAATAACGATAAATTTTTTGCTGCTAGGCCATTCCTATTGATTCGGCTCACGCTAAAATAGAACACAAGGACAAAGTGGTTTATGCCCCATCTGAGTGGCCCACAATTATAAGGAATGCTCGTCACAAGCCTGGCACCTACAATGTTACTACAATTGAGTCACAAAGATTTTCTTGACTTCGAATCATTCATTTGAAAAGAAATTTCCCAAACAGATGAAAATCGAAAGTAGAAGAGAAAGATGCCCCAGATTCTTTCATCTGCAAAACCTCATTTTCTGATGATTCCATCCTACTTAGAGTTTGTTTATCACAGGATAAACAAAAAGGGCCTCCAAAAACAAGAATGACATACCTAAGAATTTGTATAAAATGAAACTGCCAATCTCTTCGAAAAACATAATTAATTATACAAAGACGAATATGTCTTTTGGATATATACAAACATACGTCGTTAAAGCAGTGTTAGCACGCCCTCGTCACCAAGATTACCATTTTCCGATATTACTAGCAGAAAAATGTTAACAACGTTTATAGGTTAGGTAATAATGCCTTCATTGAAATGAGCAAATCTTCTTGGTAGTTGAGTATAGCAAGGTTGCTAGTCGCTGAATATATATTGTATCAAATACATAATTTTACAATGATAATGAAATGAATTATGCTTCTGTCATTTCTTGAAGGTATCTGTTTTTTATATTGCCTAATTCTTTCAATTCCTATTTCCATATAATTTATCGGCAAGCCATGCCAGTTTAATAAGATCATTTTTCTCATATTTTATATAAAACTTTCTCCCACGATGAAAAACCTATTTCGATATCCGCATTTCCACGTGCAAGTATTAAACAACTTTAGAATATAATATAAGTTTGAGAGATTCTTTTTAAAATTCTTTTACCGTCGCAAATCACACACTTCACACTTTTCTGAATGACACGTTTTTAGATAGAACAGACGTTAATTCATCTCAATCAGAGTTTATTAAAGATGTATGAGAAACTCCTTCATATGGTTCACTAGTTATTTTATATTTTACGGTCATAATCCTTTCAATGAGACTGACGGATTTGTTTTCCCAATAAAAACTGTATTTAGTTTATTTCAAACTTATTCGCAATATAAAAAATGTCGGCTTCTTTGTCGGTGGTAAAGGGATCAAAGAAGTTATCGTTTTTTATGTTGCAAATAAGTTGGAAATAAACAGTATCTCGTGTAGATTAGAATCGTTCGTATTTACATCAATGAAAAATTGGTTTACCTGTCAAACATTTGCATTTGTGAGGAAATTGTTCATTAAAGAAAATGTTAAAATTAATATTACTATGTTAATATTGATGTATTAGGTTTGTTCCAGAAAACAATCCGGAACGGTTCCAAATTTGATTTGTTAAGTTGACTAAATAAAAGGTCATTTAGACTAATCATAATTCATATTCTGAACTGTTCCAGATTCTTTGGAACAGTCTAATAATTAAATGATAAGTAAACCAATTCATGAGAAAATTTTGTTTCCAGTAAAATAAATGTAGGTTATTATACATATAGTATTCATATAAAAAACCCAAGAACAACGAGACTAGGTAAATCTTTTTTTTTTCTGCAACTTATTGACACAAGGGAATAAACATTGCTTACCCTACAGGCTGCATTCCAAATCAGTCTGTTTTATTATAAGATAAATTTGCTCATAAATTGAGGAAATCGTAGTCGGCAAATGTTTTATAATAATAATGACGTAAGTTTTTACAGGAATATACATTTTTAACATATTTCAAAGGTATGCCCAAGTCTAGTTTTACTAGTAGTGAATATTAAAGCACACTGTACATTTTTTTATGCCGCTTGCTTTCCAGTTTTCGATGATAGCAATAGGTTCCAATTTATGCAGTATAAAGGTTAAAAGACAAAAAATCTAATTGTTACATCGTGTGTTCCACAGGGGTCAGCTTTGAGGCCTTTATTGTCTAAAATTTAGATAAATGACCACTGTGATCTTAACATATTATATGTACTATATGTAAATGATATGACAATCTATTTCAAGGAAAAATAATAAAATAATTATTTGGTATTACATAAGCATCCTGTCAAATTTAATATGACAACGATAATAAATATCCATAATTTCTTACATTTTATTCCATCATTCTTATATGAATTCGCTAGTGTCAAAATTTTAGGTAGATAATAAAACAAATACGACACTTCAAATATATTTTATCGCTGAAACTATTAAAACAACTACTTCACCTAGGAGTAAGATGACGTTGGATTAAGTAATAGTATTCTTAGTATTCGAAGCAAAAAAATATTGAGATTAAAAAATATTGCCTCATCTTGCTCGTGGGTGAAGCAGTTCTTTTAATAGTTTGTGCGATAAAATGTATTTGAAGTGTCGTGTTTGATTTATTATCTACCTAAAACTTTTATACTAGCGAATTCATGTAAGAGTGATAGTATAAAATCTAAGAAACTATAGGTATTTGTTATTGTTATCATATTAGGATTGATTTATTATTTTTTCTAGAAATGTATAAATACGAAGCAAATAAAATGCAAAATTTTTTAAAATGACGATCTTCTGTTTAACTTCCAGCATGATTAAATTAACGTGTGATATAACCTTGAAATGAGTGAAAGAAAATCTTGTGGTAGTTGTATCTTAATATTTTTATTCTCGTGTAAATGGTTTTTATTGTTGATATTTTATTACTTTTCAAAAATGAAACAACTTTTTTTTTCAACATTTTAAATTTGTGGCTTCATGGTCGAATGGTAAGGACACCTGCTTCCCACCCAGGAGTCTCGGGTTCGATCCCCGCTCGAGGAGATAGAATTTTTTTTAAACCAGGATTTAATCCTTGTATATTCGGACATTGGGTGTGTGTCCATTGTTTCTAAATGTGTAGCCCTCTCCCACACAAGGTACCTTGAAGTACTTTTAGGGATACAGAGGGTTGAATTACTTAATTGCTCGCTGAAAAGAAGAAGATAAACAAAAGTGGTGTCTTAATCAAAAGCTTAGTCAGTCTGTAGATCCATCTTCGTGAAACCATTTTTATCCAAGGTTAAATATATAAGGAAAAAAAACAAAAAAAATTTAAATGTCCAATGGTTTAAGTTTAAGTCATTAATTTTAATAACCAAAAAAAATAAGGCAACAACTAATTATAATGTTACACAAAACTGATGCTTAATTATTCTTAGTGTGTTCTCATTAGCTTTAAAAAATATGTACTTTAAATATTCGGCAACAATTTGTTGTTTTCTAGACTACTGTTGTTTATTTTTCTGACTATTTTTCAAATCAAATGATTTTTAGATGATTTATTTTTTATTCGTAGATTTAACGATAGATAAATATTGTTTATGTACAGAGATGGGACTTGGTACACGGTTAGGTGTACTAATGGTGTAATAATAGCCCTTATAGTGGGGGTACACTTTTAGTACAAAAGTATGATACTATGGACCAAGGTATACCAAAAGATACCGTTTGTAATTGGTCTTAGAACCAACCAACAATTCATTGCCGGATCGTTGATGAACAGAGAATCGTTTTGTATTTTTTTCTTCTTTTTATGCTTCAAACACGCTCCTTAAATTACGCTTCATATTTCATAGACACCTTGTAGAATAGTAGATAAAAAAATTTATAAAAAATTCATTCTGCAATATTTAAACTGACTAATTTCTTTCTTTCAGCTATAAGCACGCCAATTCAAAACAAATCAACCGACGTAGAAGATCATGAGTATTATGGTCAATTGATTGAATCTTATACTAGGAGCATTTTAAAATCCGGCTTACTACTGGATGAGGACCTTGAAGCACTTTTAAGTATTTTCAAGTTTAGAAATCTCCCTGAACAAAGCAAATACAGGCCATCGTTAAGTCTATTCGCCGGTTTTATTTCGATGCTGGCTTCTTCTTATATAGCAAAGAAATATCAGTTGCCTTTAGTAGTCATTCCTTCATTGATATTTACTTTGAAAGCAGTTACATCTGAAGTTAAAAGTGTGAAAAGAAGAAAAAATAATAGAGAGATAATAAATAAATTAATAGAAGTTATAAACAAAGTGCACAAACTGAATATAAGCATTATACGTTATATGAAAGTAAGAGTTGATTTAGGGAAAACCAAGGAGCAAGAGTTTCAAACGTTGCACAACCGAAGTGTAGCAGAATTTTTAGATACATTATCAAGAAATGATTCTTTATTTCAGTTTTTGATAGACAATTTAAAAAGTATTTCTATGTACTCTGACGCACTATTTGATGATTGTCAAAGTCTAGAAGATTTAAAACCTATGACAATCCTTCAAGCTGAAAATGTAAACAACATAGAAAATTGTCTAGCTCTTACACAAAAAAGACAAGATTTGCATGTATTGTTCGCTTCAAAACTTTTAAGTTATATCGGCATAATATTTCACACTAAAACTAGTAACTTGGGGGAGAAAGATCTTAACAGTTTAATTAATGAAAGATTACCTAATATAGTTAGAAATCTGCAAGAACATCACGAGTTTGTGAAAAGGCACTTTGTCTCGTTGCGGCAGTCAGTAAGAAAAAAGACTGAATATAAGTTACAAGCCAGAAGGGCTAGTAGGAAACAAATAGCAACAAGACTACAAGACAGCTTAGTTTATTCGGTAAATAATTTGTCTGTGATACTAGAAAAGTCGCAGAATGTGTTAGATAGAATAGAAAATGGCGACGAAGAAATAGGCAATGCCATAGTAGATTTAAAAAATCACACTTTTGCTACATATGAATCTTTGGATATTCTTTGCAAATTGTATGGAATATTATCAAATTCTACCAACGACAAACAGAATGATCGTAAAATTACTAACTCAGTAAAAGCTGATTATATTTTAGAAGAAAAATTTCCCACAGTAAACTACGATGACAGTATTGAACCATTGGAAGAAAAATTTGAATTATATATTGGCGAAGAAAATGATGCCAAGGAATGCCCTACAACAAATTATGATGAAGAACAGTCAGGGGCATATTTAAGTTTGATGCTACAAGAATTAAAACAATCCTTAAAACAACATCAAAGGTTTATAGATGCAAAGAACAAAAGAGGGAGTGAAGATGACGAAGAAATGGATAGAATTCCTGTTGTGAAACTAAAAAAGTCGCCTCCCAAATTTAATTTAAAAGCTTTAAGAGATGAATGTGAACAAGGGGATATTCCCGAACTTCCCCATTTAGTAGATATAGGAGAACCAGTAGTGCCATTAGAGCTACCTATGCCTCCACCGCCTCCACTTCCATCGTTTAGTTTGAATAATTTGGAGGAAGAGACTGGTCGAGTGAACGCGAGATCTATGCTGGACAATATAATAGCGCTCTCTAGTCAAAGAAATGCCCAAGAAGACGTGTTTGGTGATTCAGATGTAGAGAGTAACTGTTCTGATTAATACATGTTTTTTTAAATAAAATTTTTAAAACCACAACGAGTTTTCATATTTCATATTCACTATTAATAATCAATAAAAAGACACCTGTCTGAAATTGTCTCAACAAATCCATAAAAACGGAAATTCAGGAAGACCCAGTAATTTTAATTCTCTTTATAACACGGTCCCAAAATACTCAGACGTCCTTGAAATCATCACTTACTTCTTCTTCTACTTGTTTTAAATAGCGATTATCTTATATTTTTACGTCATTCAGTAATAGTTTCAGCCACATGTTAACCATTTTTCGATGATTTCAGATACACACGTTTTTTATATTCTATTTGCAAAAATAGGTACGCAAGCGAGTGACAAAATTAAACATGTCTTCTATGTCTTTCGATAAGCTATATACCAATAGTTTATTAGTTTTATTTTCTGTGTTGGGGGTGTATTAGAGGTTTTTCTTTACCTTTAAGTTCCCTGGATCTAAATCCACTAAATTTTTTGCGTTAACTGAAATTTTTAGAAAACAAAAATTGTGAGATAATTATTTTCATTTACATTTTGTTGCAGCTATAACATATTTCTTTACATTTTATAGTAAAAAAAAGGTGACAAATGTAAAGTATAACAGGATAATACGTAAACAAGGCATAAATACATTTACGATACAATGGTAACGCTTCACGTCGCCCAGACAGAAAATATCCCGACAAAAGAATAGCAGCAGAGAATATAATACCCCAGAGTATAAATCCCTGAATGACGTTTCCATTTGGTCAGATAATTCACCTTTTAAAGAAAAAAACTCCTCTGGACATATAGGTAACAAATCGCTGGGAGTTCGAAAGTTAGCCGCCGACCAGAAGTATAGGATCAGTTACTAGATTTGATTATATATTGCCGAGATTGGAAGGATTTTTCTTTCTAGAGATTCGTCAATAGATCTCTGACCAGCAGCGGTTGGTTCTAGCGGTTTTCCGATAAAAAGTGAGAAGCCTGGAAAAACGCACATTAATTTCATGGAAACTGTATAGCTCTTCATCACTTTTCATTGCAATAAGTGGGAGATAAATCAAAAAGTTTTTTTATTGCTGTTATGATTAAACTATTTCTGTCTCATCATTTTACAAGCGTATTTTTAGTCTTCTTTTAATACAAGACACAGAAATAACTTCAGGTGTTAAATATTATGCGATGAATACACTTCTCTGAGTATACAGTGGAGTCGGTTAATCGTTGCTGGTATGAATATGAAAATAATGAATTTTTATGGTTACGCCATCAGCCTCAGAAGATTAAAAAATATATATTATTTGTACTTAATTTGTATTTAAGAAAAGGGAGATGGCCTGTATATTTTTATTTGTGCTTTGTTTATTCGAGTATATTTATCACCACATAATTTGAAAACAAATAAAGGTCTTTCTAGTAAAAAGTAGAAAATTTGTGTCCAGAAATTATAACCCATCTCCAGTAGAATTAGAAAGTTAAGATTTGGCACAGTTGTCGATAATATCCTAATATCAAAAGGAAATTTAAAACCTGACAAACATTGAACCACGGCGAGGGTGAGGAATAACGGTAGAAAATCTGGTTTCACCACCAACAGAGTTAGACTCCTATAGACAATATCCCTGAGGCGATGGTAAAAATTTAGAAAGTGTTAAAATGTAAAGGAATAGAAATGACAGACAATTAATCTTCCTCCCATTTCCATACAAGAATTAAACCCGGAACGAAGAGAGAAAAGGTTTGCATTTCGAAGTAGGTGAGACATTTTGGACACATACAGGGTGATTCAGATCTTATCCGAAAAAGTTTTAGGGACAAATAAGCACAAAAATAAATAAAAAAATAGAGTGAAATGAAAAATAATGACGCTGAAAAATATTTTTTTGCTAATTATTATTTACTACTTTTATAAAACTTCATAGATAAGTACAACATATAACTTTTTAAACAATTAATTTCCCGGCTATTTGCCAAAACGCTGAAACTTGGATTACAAAAAAGATAATATGCACATTATATTTAGTGTGACCGACTCAAGAATGTTATTTTTAATTCCAACTATTCTGTTCAGTAAATCCAAAAATCAATAAAACAAAATGTACTCACCAGTTGAACAATTACTTTAAAAACTTTAAAACATTTACCGACACGTGTTTCTGCTTTTAGCTTCATCGAGATAGCTCATTTAAAGGATGCAATGTAACTAAAAACTAGTAAACCCCAATGTAATAATAAACATTGATGGTTTCAGAAAACAGGATAATTGAAATTATATAGTGGAAATTCTCCGTAGGGTAGAATAATTTAAAAATAAATTAGGTATCCTCTTCTTGGTAAAAGTTTAAAATATAGAGTGAAATGAAAAATAATAACGCTGAAATATATTTTTTTGCTAATTA